GTATCCATAAAAAAAAAATATCGGTTGAATTATCGGTTATCGGCATGTACGGTCAAACCTAGATATCGGTATCGGTAAAATCCACTATCGGTCGACCTCTAGTCAGCGCCATATCGGGACACTGGCGGCTTCAGTTCTCTCCAATGGAAAAGAGCGAAGGGGCGTCGTCCATCTTTTTTTACAGTCTATGGTTATAATCAACAAAGCTGTCTACACTGGGAAATTTCTTACTTGTGGACATTGTTTTTTTATGATGAGAGAATTTGCGAGAGTGCAGAGTTCAGTCAACGAGCTCTGTCCAAACCACTGCTGTTTCAGCGATAACTAATCTGAACGCCTCTGATTGGCCATTGCATTCTTAAGCTCAACATAATTGTGTGTGATTGGTTATAATGCACAACACTGTGAAAACATGTAACAATATGATGCAACATGAGCAGATCGAAATGTAATGCCACAATCAACACTTTTCATCTCATTTTCATTTTCTCTCTATTTGTGACAGCCGTAATAGATTCATTTGAATTGTGCAAAAGCCTTTTCGATCTGATTTAGGTAAATTTTTTGCCCCGAGCCCACGTGGCCAGGGGAAGGCTAAACCTCGCCCAGCCTTACACACGCTCTGCCTGTGTTTCGGAGCAAATGAGAATGCAACATTTTTATTTGTTGTAGTTTCCGTCCACCACTATAAAAGCCTCCTGTGAACACCCTAAAATGAAAAGGGTCCATAATTAGCGGAGATGTGGTTTAATTTGTGTGAAATTGACGGTCCCCTTAAGGAAGATACATCATGAGATCAATAGATGTGCTGTGGGTGTTATTGTTTGAACCAAAGCTCATGTGATTGACAGAGTGCTGTCGTACAGTCCCATAGCATTCCTTCAGGCACATTATATTCTTAAAAGCCCTTGATTTATGAAATATCATCCGTCTGGTCGTGGTGTCTTTATGAATCATTTTGTTTGTGCGTACGTACATATGTATGAGTGTTTGACCTCCTTCTAGTAAACATGGCCCTCTGTGTAAAAGCTCTCTAAATAAATTATGATAGATAATCTTTAGATATACGAAGTAAATGGAAAAATGCCGTCAGCATCACCTGTCTATCAAACGCACACACTTATTTACCCTCGTGTGCGCCAGGCTACTTAATCCAGAGTAATATCCCCCCCTTAATCACATTCATAAATTGGTAATGATATTCATGCACTTGTGTGATATATGGCAAATTATAATGTCAGCGTGTCTTAGCCGTACTGCCGTCATTTGAATATGGGCTCTATTGCTTTTAATAAATCTTGGTGGGTGGGATATGGCAGTCATTAGGTTGAATGACTGTAGAATCGTGTAAAAAAAAAAAAAGGGCATTCAGCTTTCATATGCATCACACTGTTAATCATAATACGACTATTGGGGCCATCATGATTCTCAAGTGTGATAGAGGGAAGAACTTGGTTTATGTTTTGCTGTTTTGTAGATTTTATATATATATATATTAGGGCTGTCAAATGATTAATCACGATTAATCACATCCAAAATAAAAGTTTTTTTTACATAATATATGTGGGTGCACTGTGTATAATTATTTTGTATATATAAATACACACACATGCATGTATATTTAAGAAAAAAATATTATTTATATATAAAATATTTACATTTATATATAATATAAATTATATATAAATCTATATACAGTATATACATGAAAATATTTCTTAAATATATACAAGCATGTGTGTGTATTTATATATATAAAATAATTATACACAGTGCACCCACATATATTATGTAAAAAAAAAACTATATTTTGGATGTGATTAATCATTTGACAGCCCTAATATATATAGATAGATAGATAGATAGATAGATAGATAGATAGATAGATAGATAGATAGATAGATAGATAGATATGCTTGCAATGCCATCTAAACAAATTTGTATTCAGTTCATACACTATCATTTAAATGTTTGGGGTTAGTACGATTTGTTTTTATCTAACAAATTAGTACTTTTGTTCAGCAAGGATGCATTGCTAACCCTAACCCAGAATGGCAAATCCTCTTCTTGTCGTTTCTATTCAAATTTCAGTTCAGCTTCCTGTGGGGTTTGTCCAATTCAATTCAAAGTCACACTTATGAGTTGAAAAGGAGCCAATGTTACTGAACACGACAATGTATGACCCAATCCTGTGGCACACGACTATTAGAACCAAAGCAAGAGCGTGACTAGCAGAAACCTGGAGCGGAAACCTTTGTACACTAGCAGAGTACGTTTTTGTGATTTGGTGCAAATTTGTTGCACTAAACAGGAAGTACAGAGACTCCTTTTTCTACTTTCTGAAAGCTCAGAATATGTTCAGTTCAGCAGAACATGCTTTGTTTGAGGGGATGAAGGACAGATGACAGACAGCTTGTACTTTTACAGAACGGAAGCAGGCTTCCTTCTGGCTTTGATCACACATCTTGCTGCGAGAAAAGCTCTCAAACGCACACAGAAGGCTTGTTCTCAAGATTACACACACCAAACACACTCCGTAAGTACCAAAGTTAGATTACAGTAAAAATATAAATGAATAATACAATTAAAGAGTAGAAACCATAAGCTAGCGCTCTACAATGGGCTTTCTCGTCTCTTTCTTTGCGCTTTCATTCCCGCTCGCTCTCTAATGGGTAGAGTAGAGAATCAGGCTGGCACTAAGCGACTTTGCCAACTGCCAAAGTGTGTCGTTCAGATCAACGTGACATTAATTAAAACACGGAGCGTGGGCGGCACCAAGTTCCAGACAAATAAATAAATCGAGACAGTGGTTAGGAAAACACTTTTTTTTGACGCCTTGGCACTGCAAACGGAACTTCAGATTTCATGATGCGAAGCGTGCAGAGATGGAGAAGAGATAAATAACGCGTGTGAGAGGGCGAGGTTGGGCTCTCTAAGGCGGTCCTCGGTTAGAGACAGTGATGTATGACCGGGCCTCTCATCGGCCCTGCCTCATTACTGGGCGGCCATTTTGTAAATCAACAAATAATTGCGGTATACATCATACACTGTTCTCATCACCACAATTTACTGGATTTTGTAAGGTCCGACGCTAAGGGACGGAGTGAGATGAAAAATGAAAAACTGCTCTTTCCGAAGCAAATAAACCATTTCCTTAATATTCATAGGTTCTCCAAAGTGCATTTGAGAATGAGTAAACGATTTCATGCTTTTTGCCTGACCTTGAAACTCATGTAACTCTTTGCCTTTCGTAAATTTCCATCTTGTCTTGTTCATCATGCAAGTGAATATACGAAAGTCTTTATTTGGTTTGTTTTCTTTCTTTCAGGTCAGCATTTAGGTTTTAATTTATGAATGTACAATACGCAATATGTTCTCACTTTGCTCTGCTCAATTTTGCTTTGCCCAATGATGCTGCCTTGCCTCCACCAAAGCCTTTTTGATTGCTTTCCCTGCTTGAGTATCACTCTAATATCATTTGAAATGTCACCACTCATATGTGTTTGTTTCATATGCGTCCCTCCCGTCTATTGCATGTAAAAAAGCACAGAAGAGAAGAGACTGAGTGTGCTCGCGAGAGAAAAGCAGATTATCTAACAAAGGGCAGACTGATTTGAAAGCAGGATGTTTCGCTGAGATTCACGGCGGAGGTTTGTCAAACACAAATGCGGTATGCTTATAAAGGCAATTTCATTTTTCAAAGGAGATATAATCAGTCTGTATCATTTTGGACACAAAGCGTGAAGAAGAAAACATCTTCAGTTCCGCCTCAGCCTAAAAGCGCTGTGTAATTCGGAACCTTTTGAGTTGACCGAGTGTTTGGAAACTGAGAGCCCCCTAATTTTACGCTTGTTTGTAAAATATTAAGGATGTCGCCAAAGGTCTGAAATTCTCAGAAACTATGTTTTTGTGTTGAGTTTATGAAAAGGGACAGAATGCCATTCATTCCCCTGGTTTGGATCATTAATAGAAGTGTCTTGTTGAGTTTCTTTAAAGACCTTTAAAGCAAGCACAGCTTTTGTAGTACTTGTTGAAACAGGGAATTGGCGTTAACAGAATTGCAGGGATCATCTGCTTTTTGGAAACAGCCAGTGATGTGTGCTTTCTAGAGGAAAAAGTAGGTTGTGTGACTCGTGTCTCTATCAAAATGGTAGTTGTGTTTTTGAATATGATAGCTTTAGACCAGCTGATGAACAGCTTAGACCAGCTATAGTACCATATTCCAAAAAAAACTGTAACCAGCATAAGTTGGATTTTCCAACATGGGCCACTATACTGAGTATCAATATTAACATTGTGACAATAATCATTTTTAGCATAATTGATGTAATGGCTGATATCCTATAAATGGCTGGTAATTAAAATGCTGTTCTATTTGGTCAAAAATAGATAATTTTATCACATAATCAAACATTGTAATGTCCAGTATGAAAAGTGGATATTCATTTTGATTTTTGCTAAATGTGACCTTTAACTGAGTATGTAAGTTATTTGTTTTTAAAGATTGAGGGTTAAGTGACTGCAAATCTAAATGTCAAAGTAGGAGAAATTAACATGTACAATTAAATATACAGTATCCGTATGGATAACCCATATTGTATTGATTTACGGGCCATGTCCGTCTGTGTTTAGGTGTGTTTCATGTCATAATTACAACTTGTAAACTGGGAATTTTCTGAGTTACGACTTATACCACATGAGTGCTGGAGATTCGCCTGCGTTGACAGTGTTAAAATGCATAATTATGAGTTTGAGGACGTGAACGGCTCCAAGTAGAACGTCACCTGTTGTCATCTCGAAATTATGGTAATTACGACATGGTGTGAACGCAGCATTTCTCCCATTCATTCTTCTGTGAGGGTTCCATGTCCTCTTCCTCTCCTTTCTCTGGTTCCTATTACTCTCAACATAAGTGCCACTCCAGCCATATCATCATTCATTTTCCATCTTTAGGACTGTTATTTCCATGGGTGGACTTGTAACCCCCCCTTTTCTTGGCTTTTAAGGGAACGCTTACCCGCGCCCGCACCGAACTGAACCCCGACTATCTGGACCTACGCTCCCGAGCCGAGCTGAACCCAGAGTACTGGACACCCTGCACTCCTCTAGTGAGTAACCTTTGGTCAGATTTTTGAGATGTCTGCTGCTGAAGCACCATTACCAGAACTACACAAATGCACATTTCACCCGCTTGTTTATATGTCTTCTCTGCTTATCGGTTTCTTTAGTGACCTCTCTAACGATGGTCTCTTCACTGCTGCATCATTATAACTGAGCTAATTTTACATAAACACACATACCTCCCTCCCATTGCTCTCATTACCTGAGTATGTGCAGGGATTTTTGTCTTCTGGGGATCAGGGCAGTTTACATGAAGCTTTGCTTGCCACCGGACCTAATTATGCTTGTTTTTTTGGTTTTCCTTTTCTTAGAGCTGTTATTTGTGTGGAAAGAAAGTTCTTAAGTGTCTGTAATGGCTTTTCAGAAAAGCATATAATGCTCTAAAACTGCTAATCGGAGGCAACGCTCTTGACCGGTTACGTCAGTTGATGCTTGTCATTTGCAAGTGTTTATCAGAGCAATGTGTTCTGTTTTGAAAAGTACATTTTTATCTGGAAATGGAAATGCTTATTATTTGCTGTTTGGTCATGGTCAAATAGGGTTGCTCCCTTGCATTCTTTCCTGACTTTGGGGACATTCAAATGACATACGTTCACTCCTCACCGACTGTTACCTTTTGTCCTGTCGTATTTAATACTCTCATCTGAAAAGTGTATGCTCAGATATAGTGGGGGATATCCAACACATAAATCACCCACAACACCTTTCTTTTCATTCTACTGAGTGCTAAAGACTTTACTTGTGCTCCTTAATATGTGTGTGTGTGCATTTGTAGGTCCTTGAATGAGTTTACTAGACTCCAAAAGGTCTATGAGGGTGTGACTCAGAATGACAGAAAATGAGATTGGTGAATAGAGAGGTAAAATATTTGCAGTGGAGAAGGAAATAGAGGAAGCTGTACATGACTGTAAGACAAGGCTAGAACATTCCCTTCTCGTTTCTACCATAGGGACCTAAAGACTCTCGACATGCCCACTTTATTGTCATCCACACCCTTTCAGCATCATCCTATAAGCATGAGTGGGCTGCATTGTATTCCTAATCAACATTTCACACGGTCTTTGCTCTGAATCTTCACTGTCTACTCCCTACTTCCAACACGACGGCAGGGAATATGGATCCATTCTGCCTGTGGTTGGAATATCCTCCTGGGCAGTCGATAAGATGATAGAAATGACCCGCATGCTTCCAGATGTCACCATGCATATATAGTAGCTTGGTGTGCAGCCAATTACAGTGGATTTCCATTGGGATCTGTCCTCATCATTGGAGTGTGAATGGACACTTTGCCATATCATCTTGGGGTGAACTGTCCAATCACACTCATTATTTTTTCATACTGAAAAACAAAACAAAAACAAAAACAGATGTCTCGTCTTGTAAGTAAAGCTAAGGTTTAACATTAACCTCATTTATTAAATACCATTATAAAATGCTATTAGTAGTCTTAATAAATGTGAATAAATAATTTATATTCAAACTAATATTTGTATAAACATTATTAAAAAACATACACAAAAAAATAAAATAGATTTGAGTACTTAAGGCAACATACATCATTATCCTTACTGATGTCAGTGTTTATAATTATGTATAATGGTATTTATTAAAAGTATTACATACACATTCGCATATACGCAATACATCCATCCATCAAAAGGCGGTTGAGTGTGTAAAAGTGTACCGATTGGTCTGTGGTGCAGCATATGAAAAGTGCTAGATGCCAACAGCTCTGATTTGATGTCTAGAGTGCAGTATTGACCATTTATTAGAGATGTTGTGGATCTGATTATGAGAACCACTGCTTGAGGGACGAGGCTGTTCTTGTGCCTGGTTGATTAGTTGAATCTCTTCTCTGAGTGCAGTGTTTCAAACAGGTGATGGCTATCATTTCCGGTGGCTTTCTGGACCTCAATTCAAAGAAGTTAAGGAGAGAGAACTGACTACTGAATGGATGGTGTGCTGAAGTTGGCTTTTTTTTCTGTGCGGTGAGCGACCTGTACCAGATTGTTATGGATGAAGTGAGGGTGGACTAATTGTAGTGAAGAACTACTACATTGAGGCTTGTTCAGTTTACCTCCCATTCAAGGTAGTCTTTTGGTTATATACATATTTTTGTCGGATTCCAGATTGGTGGGTTGTTGTGAAATAAAGAAAAAAAACTCCTTTTGCCCCCTGATATGAACGGTCCTATCCAAGTTGAAGAACCTTATGTGGTCAGTGTTTCCCATGTGATTTTGTGGAACTGTGGTGGGTGGACCTTGGGGGATATTTTTTTTTTTTACATTTTAAAGTTAAATTCATCAATCTGGTGTATTTTGAGAGATCAAAAATAAGAGCTCCAACCCATATTCAGTGTGCACATTGAACAGCCTGTGAATTGAAACTCTAAAGGGGACTCAAACCGCTTTTTAGTTGTGATATAGTGTCTCAGTCTACATTACAATACATACTACTAATAATAATGTTATTCCTATGACAGTAATGGCCATATATTGTAAAGTAAATAAATAAATGAAACTTTCATAATTAGGATTGTCCTCATTTCTATACATGCTAGAGATAAACCTGTGAGCTTTTATTTTGACAGAAACTGCAGTCGAGCTTTTATTTTGGCGGAAAACAAGTTTACAAATGCATCTCATTACAAATCTACTGAAATGCCGTAATCGTCAACTATGCAAATGTGAAAATAACACGTTACTGGTGCTCGCTACGTTCCCAAATGCTAAACTCAGCACATGCATAGATGGAGTTCACTGCATTCATTCACTTTGAACTGGTATTGAGAATCGAACCTGCGGAGCTGATCACGTGCTTATCACGTTAGCAAAGTGCACACTTCTCTTTGCGCAGCGCATACAGACAGTCTTTTGATAAGGACACAAAGCCTTTTCGCACTTTTGGCTTTATTGTGTTTAACAGCAAAAGCTCAAAACATGACATTAAAGAACCTATTATGTTATTATGAGAAGTTTAAATATATGTTCGGGCCGCCACAGTGTAGTTAATGAATGGGAAGCACTTAAATCTGTCTGTGACGGTAAATGCTGATATTGTGGCAGTCCGCCACAAATAAATCAATGTATGGGAAACACTGGGGGTATAGCAGGGACTCTTGAGTTGTTGCAAAGTAGGTCAGAACAAGTTGCTCAATTGTCGATAGGACCACCAAATGGTCATGAGTTCGTAGACATTAAAGTTTCTTACTGCTCCTTGGGATTAAAACAATAGCTGGTCTTTTAAAGCAGGTTGAATCAGGTACAGCAGGTGGGAAAGAAAGTCAGGAAAACCTGTAGTTGGTCAGCATTGTGCTTCAACGACTGTTACCATCTTTCCTCTGGAGAATTGAGGTCTGGTGGCCTCCCTTTTGTTCTTGAAGCTCCCTTGGTTATATGCACAGATGCACAGACACAGTTTGTTAATTTTCTTCATGCACCAAATGTATTATGTCCTTTACAAGCCAGTTTGATAAATGGCTTTGTAAACTAGCCTGAATCGTATTCTGTTGAATTGCAAATGGAATTAGAGCTATATTATGAAAAAGGTTGTTTTTGGAGAACATATTGCGTGTTGTCTGGAGGTCAGAGCGAATGTGCAGTATATCTTGTTCCTTTCTCTGCCGTCTCTCAAAGGTCAGCACTGTGATTAACCTTAGGTCAATTACACCCAAGATGCTGCACACAATCCGTTAGAATGCATTAGTTTGGGGATAAGTGCAAAAGGCAAGCAGTCTTACTGATCGCAGGTGATCCTTCAGTTCCAACTGCAACTCTGCTAATATGTTGTGTATTATATATAATATGTTGTCGAGTAATAACTGCCAACTGTCAGTTATTGGTCCCCTGAGCCTTAGAACAATATTACGACTGGTATTAGTTATTGAAATGAGCCGTAATTAACACAAAAACCAATTGAGTTCACTATGGAGTTCATCCCTCTATATTGCTCTGCAAACAGTTGTTGTTTTCTCATCTCATGACTATGGAAGGAGGGGAGGAAGTCAATCGCACACTTCAGAGCGTGTCAGTAAATGCCTTACACAGTCTTCGAAAATAAGTCGACATCTCATTACAGAGAACAGGGCAAGTGCATGTAAATCTACGCTAGCGATGGACAGATCGGATAGATTCATTGCGTCGCTGTTAAATAAGCTGCTGTGACAGAAACTTGTCATTGGGTATCTGCTGTGAAGAGTCCCAAGTGCATGTACTCATGGTCCATGGGCAGAGAGGAATCATGGGATTGATTATGAAGTCATTCCAGGGTTGTATGGCCACCGTAGCTGCTGTTTTCCTCTAGCATGTCCTGGTATATTCATGAAATGGCACTAGAGTATATCTAAGGAGACCTGTCAGCAGGGAAGAGAAACATTTCTGAGCTTGTAAGAACATGCTTGAGAAGGAAAAATGGTGACTTTGAATTGCTTTTTCATGTATTTGCACGCATTATTGATTTATTGACCTTCTGTCAGGACAAGGTGGTTTGAAGACAGACTAGGGCCAATTTATTCATTCCGGTGAGAGGGAAATGAGCTTAGCTCTGCCGCACTGACTGAACTGAGCAATGACTGGGCTTTACGGTTGGCGCTGATTAGCAGGAATGAGCTCTCTCGATGCTGTGAGAGTCTTGTTCATTAAATGATATGTGGTATGTTGACTCCTAGCATCCTGCTATGTAGTTTAGTATTGAGGAACTGAAAAATCTTAAAAGTTACATACATCATTTTATTTCTTGCGAATTGAGGATGTAACCGGGACTGAGGGGAGCAAATGTAAACTGGTCATTGATTAAACTTCACATATCCCCTTCAATGTCCATAACGGTGTTGTTATGGCCCTGCATCAAATGTTTTTCTCTCTAAAGTGCCTCTTAGAAGCTGAATGTGCTCCGAAGCCTCATGCTGTACTTGGTGACGGTGTAGAAGAAAGATTAAATCTAAGCGTTTTAGAAAGGTGGTCAATACACTCTTCATAGTGAAGGTGTA